CTTTGAATTAAGTGTCAACTAATATGGGACGAATTGAGAAGTCAATTTGGGACAAACTGAGAGGACACCATTATTCTTTATTGCTTTAGCAATTGTTAAGTTTATTCACAGTATAAATACCGTTTAACGCTCACTTATTACGATTTTAGAGATGGACAGTAGTCAACAGAGCAATATAATCTATTCATTTAATGATGCGCAAGACAAATTAACCACGGGCATACAGACCTAGTTAGTCTTTTTTTCGTATTAATAATGTTAGATAAGGAAGGTGTTTATTCTTCTTACCTGAAAGTGCCGCAATCAACAAAAGTTTCAATGACACTAGTATCTAGAGAAAATATTTCTAGTTCAAAGGATCTGATGTCTACCTACGTTGACAAATGTTCTCATCCAAAGTGATGACAGCTTCCCTTAGAGCCCTAAAGTCTGTACCATCCACAAATGCGGCCATATTATTAAAATTGTTTGTTATCTTTCACTTGAAAGTTCAAGAGAAAAATAATGAGTCTTGAACTTTCAAACGAAAAGAATTCGACTTTACGAAAAACCACTTCCGAACTTGGCCTCAAATTATGCCAGTTTGTGGAGTACATTGAATACTATGTATGAAATTTACAATTGGCCTATACGAAATAGACAGATTATTTAAGCATAATTAAAACTATTTAAAAAATCTTTAACAAAACAAACGGTTCGACCTCTTTTATATTGAGGTCTTCTTCAACGTTCTTGCTGTTGAAGAAGAAGATATAAAAGAGGTCGAAACGTTTGTTTTGTTAAAGACTTTTTAAATAGTTTAATTATGCTTAAATAAAAATACGAAATTAAAGTATCAATCGGTAACTTAAAATAATAGTATGTATCTTCAAGAAATTTCGGCGGTCCTATGAATATTGGTGAAATTACGAATTTTTTAACGTTGGACTTTGTTTACATTCTTTTTTTCTTCAACTTCTTTTGCTCAAATATAATGAATAATATATCATTTGAATCAGCTACTCAAACGCAACAAAATCCTGTCAATTTATCATGGATTTAGGGATTTTTGACATTTTTTCATATATAGGCTTTTATATGAATTAAAAGCTCGTAAATTATCAAACAAGAATGCCGGTGTCTATTTCTTTAATAACTTTTGAACAGTGCACTTCGAAGACTTGCGATTTTCAACATTGCATAGAAGAGATAGTTAGCTACAACTTGACATAAAAATATCTCAGAAAATGCCACCTGCAGGTGGTATACCTTATCAGTCTTTAAAGAGTAGGTCGTGGTTCTAAGATCTACCAAAGCGCCCCCTGTGTTTCTCATATAGGTATGATAGCCTAAAGTATTTTCTATCAATAAGAACTAAGCTATCTCTAATCTTTCGCGGTTTTAAGCGCAGCATCGGATTTCCTCGAGGCTCGATGATCGATATTTCCATAATCTCGAAAATAAATGGAAACAGGTTATCCATCATGCTGAGTCTCATGGCAATGTTTGTTTTTCGAAAAATATGCAGAAATCTAGTGAAAACGTATATTACATGAAATCACTCTTGCATGAAGTGATTTCATGTAATATAACTTAGCCAGCAAAGATTTTTCTTCGAAATGCTTCGTTGTTTTTGAAATGCGTGAATAAGTTTCAAAAAATTACTTTACGGGCTCAAACTGTACTAGAATGAAAATTGTTAATTTTCTCAGACACAGCTGGTGCAATTTTCATTATAATTGGGGATATATGTCACATAATGTGTTCTGTCGAACTGTGTAACAATAAGAGTTCCAGCTTTAATTTTGAATATTTATAAATTTTTTAAATATAGGATTAAAATCGTATGAAATTCGTAAAAATTTCTTTTCTCAGCAATTACAAGTCTATTCATCGAAAGCACTTCGGGAAATATACAGCTTGATGCGCTCTACAAAGTTATGAAAAAACACGGAGGTGGTAATCCGCGTAAAATCGATTATTGATATAGATTTTAATAAAAAAAATAGAAATCTCATTTGCTATGTTATGTCATATCTGAGAGAATCGAATATACGTGGTGTCTCTTCATGAGTATGTGTGTAAAGAAAAGAATGAAGAAAAAGGCTCAGATTCAAAAAAGATCTCAAATTAGATGTCTCCGGACTCTATAGTCTCTTTCGTTTCTAAATACTAAGAAAATACTAAGCTTTCTTATGTGCGTGGCTCGGATCGATCTTGCATTAAAGCAGTGCTTTGAAACGTCATCCAAGCAACAGAGTTATGGTCATACCAATAAAATAAAAACAGACTCCGAGAAAAGACACAATCGAGTGTAGCGAAAACCTTTGCTTTTTCTTCTTGAAAATTGTAAAAAAAGATGTTGCGTCTCAGATTTTCTATCCTGAAAAAGCCCATTTGCTTTTTTTCTGCAAGAAGAATATTTAAAATTTAACGTTATGACTTTGATAAGATAGTAACAGCAGCTGCTTTTAGATTCATCTTTATTTAATTAAATAAAAATGAATCTAAACGCAGCTGCTGTTACTATCCTATTAATTCTAAAACTTCTACTTCTGAACAGATATAATGTTTCATAATTTTATGATATTTTAACGCTCAACTGGGTTGTGCTCTTATACCAGTTACATACACTTTAGCTAAAGTAAAAATTAACATTATCTTTCCTACAAAAGATTTAATACTATCCTAAACTTTTTCTCTTATTCAAACACTTATTTTCTTCGAATGATAAGTGTATTTGTCTTACATTTGTTGTTATGTAATTTTAACGATGACAGAAAAACAGCGATGAAAGAGCGTGAAGAACGAAAACGAAAAAAAGTGAGGTAGCTTCTAATTTTGATCAAAGTTATTTGCTACATACATTTGAGTATATACATAATAAATGGTGCTATTCCACATTGAGCGAACAATATTAGTTGTATGTAAAAATATTAAAGCTTTATTTTTAACATTAAACGAGTGTAATCGTAAATGAGAAAAGGACTAGTCGCATGTCGTGCACTTAAAAAAAGAACATCGTCAAGAAACTGCAAATGTCACTATATCGACAATTGACAATAGTCTCTTGTATGAGTGTCGAAGCTATCAGCTAAAAATAACAGGACAACGTGTATAGGTTCTAGGTATTTCAATAACTTTTGTATCCACTGTATGTATACACACAGATAGGATCCTGAATCCGCAGAACCTATTAATAGTCATTATTCGCGAAGAAGGTTATTTTTGCATCAATCGTGGCTAGGAATGTTCGGTCCCGCATGAGCAGCTTGGAGAAAGCTTAACCGCTCCACGTCGCCCCTTGTTGTGGTGACATCTCGAAAACGGAGATAGATAAACTAAAAAAATAATTTTGTCAACGTACTTTGTTATGGTCGTCAGCAGAACTGATCACCTGCATTTTAAACCGAAGAAAGCTGCAGACAGATTACAGTTTGCAGATGAATGAAGACTTTTTCACTGACGGCCAGCAGCTAAAGAAGAATGTTTTCCTTTCTGCACTCCTTGCAGGGGAGAAGTATTTTACCTACATTCCCTGCAGGAAAAGACGTTTTTGTATGGAAAACGAAAAGAGGGAGGAGACCGAGAGAAATGTTGTTCACACTGAAGATCAGAATGATCCCTGAAGGAAAAGAAACTAACTAACAGCTTTTTTGTATGTCTACTAGACATTTTAAAAAGAAAGAGAGAAACGAAAAACGAAAAATAGAGAAACAAGAAAAACAATGAATTTCGCTTTTGTTGTACTTAATGTCTCTCTTACTATGCACACTACGTATAGTCAAAGAAGATGACAAAAGACTATAATGATAACAGAAAGAGAAAAAGATAGAACAAAAATAGTGAATCGTAACTGGTGATAGAGTCTATAACTATTAGTGGTAATACAGACTGATGGTGGTCAATAGAAAAAAAATTGTTACAGCTCGCCTTAGGAGCCACCTGCATGGCAGGAAAGTGCAGTACCAGCACCTCCTGCCTGTGTGGGACAAAACTTTTTTTTCTAACTTGCAGACCTCTGCGCGGGTACATTTTATCTTGCCCCTGCAAAGGTCGCAAATTATGCTGGTGATCAGCTCTGATCATCATTAACTGTACGTTTTGTCCAGATTGAACATATAGTTAAAATAGATTTCGGGAACGAGAGAGCCGATTTTATACATGCTAGGCTACACACAAGTGAGGTCGGAGCAAGAGTTTCTTTAACGCTCTGGAAACTGAAGTAGAAAAGTCGCCTATGATCACGGCGGTTTTGTCAAGAGAAATATGCATCGGGATACATGAACTGTGGATCAGATACAGAGAAATGCTATGAATAGTGTATCCTAGTACTTTAGAAGAGAGCCTTTGAAAAAAATTCTACTGCAAGAAAATTTTATAAGAAAAGCTAACACGTACGTCTATGTAGTCATGTTCTTAACTGATAATACAAATGTTAATCCCAGATTTGTATTTTGAGCGCCGACGAGTTCAAATATTAGACTAGGTATACTACTCCCTAGAGAAGTGAAAAAGTTTTCCATCTTCAGCGCTTTTGTTACAGAATGATTGCAATTATAACACCAACTATCTTGAATTTCATTTTTTTATTGATAAACTTTTTCGTTTATTTTAACGTTTTGAAAAAACTTTTGCCATTATCAAAAAATAAATAAACAATGTTGACTATACGAAGAGACTTTTAGAATTTTACAAAAATAAAAAAATGAGATTCAGGATAGCTGATGTTACAGTTGCAATCATTCTGAAATTTTTTGCCTCTAAATCGATTCAATGCTCTTTTTACATTTAAAATTTTTATTATTGAATTATTTCAATACGAATACAGCACTAATGTACACTCAGTACAACAAAAGTGCAGAAAATGAGAGAGTTTTTCTTAGTAATCTATACACTAGAAGTGAAATTCTGCAATATAATCTATCAGCTTGTAGTTAAACGACTAGTTTCTTTAGGTTTTAACTATAACCATATCCTCTAAAATTTCATTAAGTGAAGATGTGACCATGCTCAGACTGATGCCGTATAACATACGTTATGGTAATCCTCCATTAGAAAAAGAGGTGTGATTGATTTAACACAAACAGCTCATGTCATTATTACCGAACAATCTGATTTTGTGACATTATAAGAAGTAGATGTTAATACCAGACGATCAGGATCAACTCTCAACGAGGCTAAAGAATTAACTCGTCTAACAGGATTAAATTATTATTTTTCAAAATCAATTGATTATCAAGATGATGAATATGGTAATGCGATTTTAACACTATTTCCAATTAAAGAAACTACTCATTATGAATTACCAATGAAATTAGATCAAGAAAGACGTTCAATTAGTATTATACGTGTTGAATTGACTGAAAATCAACAACTTTATTTTGCATCTACTCATCTTGAAGTATCAGATGAATCTACTCGTCTGGTACAAGTACAAAAATTAGTTGAAATTAGTTCAAAATATCAACAACAATATTCATTTATTATTGCTGATGATATGAGTTCAACACCGACAAGTGAAACGATTAAAAAATTTCAAGAGCAATTTGCACTGGCATGTAAAATAAATGAATGTCTTCCAACATTTTCATCAAGTAAACCAACTAGGACAATCGTTTAATCAACATGCTACAATGAACTGGGATATTTTAAATTATACACCACGCTATAAATTAATACTTCAGATCACCTACCATTAGTGAGTGAAATTAAATATAAAACAATCTAACAAGAAAAAAAAAATTTTTCTATGAAACTAATAAAATAAGTACTATCTTTTCATCAATACTACTACGTAGAGTGATTAAATTTATTATTGAAAGATGAATATAATAAAAAATTTAAAAATCAAACTTTTTCTTTTTTTTTTATAAAATTAGACAGACGGCAAATCTACATTGAGTCAATTTAATGACCATAAGCAGTGACTACTATACCTAACACTATGTATAGTAAAATCGACGAATAGTTGAACATATTTCCACTATTTGATGGTCCCCGACCTGAAAAGGATTTTGAGTGTACCAAGTTATGAGCATAATTAACTTTCATTTTTTCCATTTCAATAGCGGAATCGAACGCTTGTTCTATGAATTCACGATTAAAGCTTTTGTCTGTGATTATAGTGATGACACCGCATGCAATACGTGGTCCAGCATGACTAGTAAAATATATAGAATAGTAGAAAATATCTGTATTAAAATATCGTTAACTTACCCTGTTGTATTACTGTCAACTTGACCACCACGTCCCAAATCATCAACATCTCTAAAATAAAGTAGATTTGTCATTCAAGTATAGTTTATGAGATATTTTGTACTATATACCGGTGAACAATAATTGTTCGATTAAGAATTGATTGCGTTTGGTTAGCTAGTTGAATAATTGAATCATTAATGAGAACATAGGCTGTTCCAAATTCATTTGAGTGAATATTTCCTAAATCACCTACATGTCGTTGATCAATTGTATCATCGGGTCCACCATGCCATTTCATATACGGATTAAAGTGTGCACCAGCAGCTGTACAATTTGTTGTATTTCCAGGATTTTTTTCGTGAACATGAAATCCATGATACTGTGTGTTTGGCACAAGACCATTGATTATACCACGAACAACCACTGAACTACTCGGATTTAATTGTGTAAATATGACAAAACCTTTTGCTGAACTGTTTGAATCCGGATGTAATGTGGCTGTAGCGAAAATTGGAGTATCACCAATAACTCCAAAAACATTAATAAATAAGACTAATAAAACTAGTGGTAGTGAGAACATATTTAATGTTTGTGGTTTTATAACAAAATGTCCCCTTTTTTCAAATAAACGTTGACACTATGCGACTGTTATCTCTTTTTATCAGAGTTGTTTCTTGTTCTATCACAAAATGAAGCGAAATGTTTCTTCTTCTCGCTTTTTTTTTTATGACGATGCACACACATAGATGACTTTATCTTGTTCTTTTTTCTACTCTCAGCAGAAAATTCATAGGTTATAGAAAGAATATCATTCAAACATTTGTTCGCATGCACTTACACAGGACTTTTCTAATTATAATACAGATAGCCTGATCAATTGATGGGCATTTGGTATAAAATATACATCTTTTCTCCTTCTCTCATAACAACCACATAGCCATGAAACACGTACAAACGTCCACAGTCCGAAAGTTTTCGGACATCGAAGGTAGAGATCTGCAACCTGGCGCGACCCTAGGGTCGGGACGGGTTCGGGTTAAGATGTTGTCGGGCCGAGTTGTGTTCGGGTTGAACATTTTGCGGCGTAATTTAAAATATAGATAATTTCAATTTTGTATTACTCGTTGAAAAGTTAACTCTACTGGAATTTTCAGTTGAAATACTTATTTCAGAACAATTGCATTCACTAAAGAGACAAGGTCTTCAGATATCCAACTCCGTTTTTAATGATATCATGATAATTACTAGAGGAAAGTGTGCTGATAAAAATCCTTAAAGGCCCATATAAGTTCTTTCAAATGTTATGAATTTTTTGGTTCTAAAGGAACACTGTGTGTAGTAACAGTAATAATTCTGTAATCCAGTCAAAACAGAAAATTAAGAAGAGAAATTTTCTTTTGTACTTTCGCTAATAGTCTGCTAATATTACAGAACATTTGAGCGTTACATCTTCCTAAATTCGCTTATTATTAAACTTTTCTTCTTGAAGGAAAACAATGTTTTCCAAACCACATAATTTTCAGTGGTAACATGTCTTTTTTATTGGAGGTGATATTGCGAATTTAGAAAGATACAACACTCAAATTTTCCGGACTATTAGCAAAAGGTCACTCGCCTGTAATGCAGTGCCCTCCGCTAAACAAATCGGTAAATAAAAAGACATAAACTTAAGAACAAAATAAAAGAGTAGAAATTTATCGGGTCGGGTCGGGTTCGGATTATATGCTATCGAGTCAGCATTTGACAGTCGAGTCGGGTTCGGGTTACGTTTTCTTAGCCCGTGCAGGTCGCTAATCGGAGTTTCATTAAACAATTTTTCATTAAAAGAAAGTTTATTAGAATTATAAGGAAACTTCCTGTGTGTTCGGTGACTCTGAATTTTCATTAAAATTTTTAATGAAATTCTTGTGTCATCAAAAAATTTTAATAAACCTGTCACCGTCACTTTGCAGGAGTCATTTTAATGAAAGTTAGGCGAACAGAATATATGAATTTTTGAGCTTAAAGTTGACACACGCTGTCTCCTGAAACGTATTGAAATAATCAATATTTTTGAAGTATACTAAAAGAAAAAATGGCTCAAATAAAGATTTTAGAATCTATTGTCTATCAATTTCATTTTTCTGTCAGAGTACGTTTTTACTTTAATTTTTTGCATGTTCTGCTTGATGAAACATATATTGCTTACACTGGTTTTTTCTGACTAAAAATAAGATTATTTAACCGAGTGTAAATATTGTTCTACTTACGCAACCGTATGAACTGTTAGTGTATCGCACGATTGTACCTGATAGAGTCCTGTCGTCTTGATGTACCGCTACTATACGTATAGTTGCGATAAAGCACGAGAGATGACTAAGTAGTGATAACTATTGCTGAAAAAAATTACTTACGAAGAAAAATTCGGATATTCGCCTCTTATTAGAAAAATGTCTTTGTGTATACCTCTGTTCGTTTGAATTTTAGAGGAAACTGGCCCTACTTAGAATCACAGAATCATGCATAACACTATGTTTTAGAAAAGAATGAAGTTATCTGATTCTCAATTTCATACGGTCCTCTTCTTCGATTTTACAATCTCAGTAAGTTAGGGCTATGATCTCAGGCGAATGTAAACGAAATCTTAATAAGATTATAAGCAGATTTCTGTGAAGTCTTGACAAAATTCGAGCAAGTTTCTTACTTGGAAAGCTGTTAAAATAGATCAGAGATGGGCAACTCCGACTACCGTCAACTCCAGATTTCCGAAAATTCAACTCCGCATAAGTCTTCTGACTTCTTTGCCATTTATTTTATCACTATCTTGTTATTTTTTTGCTTTAAAAGAATGTATTAGCACGTATTGATATACTGAATAAAAAAACGTGGAAAAATTTCGGAATTAAGACAGTTTCGAGCCATAGTTACGGAGTTGAAGTTGGAATTGAGAAAAATTTAGAGCCATCTCAACTGCAATTCCTCTGGAAAAATCCTCAGCTCCGCAAATGGAGCTGTTCATCTCTAAAGCAGATTCAGAATAACGAATGGAGAGATGTCTATTATACCTGTTATGATGGTTTATGTTATTGTTTTTATAGTTACAAATGTTTCTGTAGACTCTATGCTTATCCTTATCGTTCGATGTGTGTTCAATATGTATATAACAATCTGTGTTGTTCACTTATTGATGGTTGCAGTGGTACCCATTGCTAGGCTGATGATAAAGTTACTAAAAATACAGGATAGACTTCAAACACAACACGTTTTTACAACTATGGAATTGACCAAAAGGCTGGTCTATGTTACTTCAACTTTATGACGCGTGTCACTTAAATCGAGTTTTTCGTAGGTCGGAGGTGTTAGTTTGAACCTGACTTTTAGTGGTATATGACCTACGACAAGCAAACTTTCATCAGCCACCGAATTGAACAGTTTTGTACCTCCATGGTGCATCCAAAAGTTATTTTTGGTTTTGTTTTGATATAACCTTATTTTTGTGATCTTCACCATACACCCGCTGGGTATTGGTATCATTAACTAACTAATTTACAACATACTTTTACTTATTCATTGATCCTGTTTTATTCAAAAGATGTATTCACCATATAACGCCTTCAGCAGTATATATACTATGCTTTTAATTTTTAATAGACTTCCCTTTTTTTTTAATATACAAATTCAACTTTAGTTTTAAGAATACTTTTCTGATTTTAAACGAATATTTTTTATTCTCTAGTATTCAATTATTTTATTAAATGTTAATTTATAAAGAAGCAAAGTTAAAAACAGTAGCATATTTTGTTTTTCAATGTGTAGTCATATTCAGAAGAGACTCGATAAATTTCAACGAGAAATTGTTGATGTTCCATCTTTAACAATAGATTTTATCCATTGTTGGTATGCTGAAACTCGTGTATAGACACCAGCATATTGTGGAAGGGCACAACCAACTCCATAACTAACAATACCTATCTGTTCCCATTGGTTTCGTGTAAACATCATTAATGGGCCACCGCTATCGCCTTGACAGGTATCTACAAATAAGCAGCATAATCAAGAAATCGAAAATTTTTCGCAAGAGATGGTTCAATGCGGTTCCAACACATATTATCATATCTTGCTTTTCTCCTCGCCGTATACTGAAGAATGTCCAGATTTTAATTCTTTATCCATCTGTAAAACTACATGTAACATAGAACTACCAATATTAACTTCTGTATGAAACTATGAGCACTTTGAAGACGCTATGATGTTTTGTAAACTTACGTGCGTTCTAATGGGCAAAAATTTCAAATGTCGCAATAAAATCCACTAACAACTCTTTCATCTTTTTTATTACTTACCTTTTCCACCTCCATTGACACCGGCACAAAACTGTGTAACTGAATTTCTTAGTGACGTGGAGCAGCTTTTTGTTGATTTTGGTATTGAATTCAGTGTCACTTGTCTTAGGGATTGCGATACACTTTGACTCGATGATGCTAGTACACCCCAGCCTATAGCCACAACAGTCTTACCTGATGGTGGGTATTCTGATGGGACATTATTTGATGGTAAACATACTTTTGAAACAGTTCCCTGAGTTAAGACTAATGGTGATGATAGCTGTAACAAAGCAATATCATTTTCAAGCGTTTTTGTATTATATGATGGATGTGAATAGATTCGGCTTATTGGACGAGTTTGACCTTTATCTGTCAATTTATCAATACCAACAACAACAGATAACCCATTTGTGATACAATGTGCAGCTGTTAAGATGAACGTCGGAGAAATAACTGACCCGCCGCATATGTGTGATCCCGAACGACGAATAGATACAGCCCAACCCCAACTTTGTTGAATAGCAATTTCACCACCAACGATTTTGTTTAATATAGCTGAATTTTTTGAGCATCCACATGAAGCTGATGGGTTACATTTGTATGTCACCGCAGTTACCAGTTCAACAATCACCATTAAAAATATAAATCTATTCATCTTGTTGTATTGAAAAACGCAACTGCTGGTTTATTGAATAGTTGTATCTGATAAGCTCTGCCGTTATAATGTATCACTACTGTGTCGTTGTTCTATCAAATTTAGCGGAAACTGGCTCCGCTTAGAATCACAGAATATATAGTTTCTCTGCTCAGTATGCAAACGGTGGATAATTATCATGATAACTTCTACAAAAGAAAAATGTAAATTGAAAATTAAAGATCGGTAAATATTTTTTGTTTGAGATCAAATTACAGCTTCTGTACATATTTTTCTTTGACAGATGAGAAGAAATAAAGATTATATTCAAGTACATTTAGAATAGTGAAAAAAATACAGTTTTCTTCGAACTCGTTTCGATGTTACTAGTGCAGACGATAGCATGCACCATTCGTATTCTGTACAAAATAAAGGATATTGTTCTATTAAAAGCCTAAAAATGATCTGAGTTCATTACACTTCTTTCAAATGTTATAAATTTAGCTCTATTGCTGAAAACTGTAAAACAGAAAAGCAGCTACATTAAAAAATTCGTATCTCGATAAAAACAGCAAATTAAGAGCTCAAATTTTTTTCTATTATTCTACTACTTGTCTGTCAATATCATAAACATTTTCAGCTTGTCTACATGTCGAGTTTTTGCCTACTGAACATGTATAATAACACTGAACTAAAGTCCTGCGGATCTGACCTTTTTGATCCTGAACCCGATCTCGTCCCGTAGACCTAAAACTCGTCTAGAATCCGAACGCGCACAAATTTTTGGGGGATCCCGATCCCGATTTTCCAGACTAAAACGCGCCTCAAAGTTCCTTCTTTTATTCCTGCATTAGTAAATCTCTACACGCAAACGTTCTACTCTTTTCACAGTCAAGAAGGAAAAACTCAATCGGAATAATGGTAGTTTTAATGACACTGAAAATCAAACGACATAAGGAGATATTTTTTTATATTGCTATTTTTGTGATTAACGTTTAGGAGACTCAGAAACATGGTCTTTGTTATTTTTGTGTTTTGAATAAAAAAAATAATGCAAAATAATGTGATCCCGATCCCGTTCCGATGAACTCAGACCCATCACGAATCTGGATAAAAGATTTCGGAATCCCGATTCCGAATCCGCGTGATCGGGTTAAATCGCAGGACTCTGCACGGAACATAATAAAATGAAGCTTGATTAAATAAGTTAAATTTATTTTATGGGTATTAGTTGTTTTGATCACCAAAAAAATTCTTGCTTCGACATTTTTTTGATGGTGTCGTCTGTAATACAGGGCAGTTATTTATAGGTCTTGCTCACCAAAATCAATAAAATTTCAAAACACTTAACCATTGACAGTAGAATTTCAAAAATCGTCAAGTGTTGACATGTTTTATGTATCTTTCACATTTCGTCATGTATATATTTCCTTCATATTCTTTTTCCTGTCTATCCACCAATGAATTTGCAATAACGCTGAGACTAAACTAGTTAATTTTCTATTAAATTGTTATATATTCTTCTTGTACATATTTCCTTTAATTGATTTGGTGATCAAAAGTCTTATTTTTGGCGATCATTTCACTGCTAATAAATTTGGTGATCAAAACACATTTTTCCCTTATTTTATTAAATAATATTGTCCATAAATGAAAAATGTGAGCGCTCGTAAATTCATTGTTTGAATAACTGATTAAGTTTTTATAATAAAGTTAGTACATACGATAATCTATAAAGAAGTGATTAGAACATAGAATTTTCTACGCCAACTACAATTTATAAATGGTTTATCGTTGCAATTTTTACAATACAAGATTCACCTGTAAATGAAAAACAGACTTGTTTAACATTCTGAAATGGTCCTGGATTGATTTTCAAGTGGCCAAAGCGATACCATGCGTAAGATCAAAGGTGGTGGGAGCCGGAGAAGGGCACATGAGTATATATTTTCAATTTATTTAATCAAACTTCATTTTCTTATGTTCCGTGTTATTATACATGTTCAATAGGCAAAAACTCGACATGCAGAGAAAATGTTTTTTGTGTCGACAGACATTTAGCATTTATGCTAGGAATTTTGTTTTTTCTTTACGATCTTTTTTTGCGAAATGAGAACGCCATAACCCAGCAACTGCTCATCGTAGAAAAGTTTTGAAAAAGGGACAGTGTTCTACGGAAACTGAAAATTGACCATTTGCACGTTCAAAAATGGCTGTTGGACTTAGATTATTGTTGTTATTTTTTTGTCTGGCACCATTTAGTCAGAGCCTCTCTTTTTCAAATTTCCTTCATTGTTCTTTTATCTTATAAGCAGTTCAAAGATTAAATCAAAGCAAAAATACAATGCTCAGAGCCTACTGATAAGATCAGCCTGGAGCAGTATTTTCAGCCAGAGACAGAGTCTGTCGACATCGCAATTTGTACGCAGAGCAACTGCAGTCTAGTGTGTAGTACAGTTTTCAGCCAATAGAGCAAAGTTTATAACATTTGAAAAAAGTGTAATGAACTCAGATCATTTTTAAGCTTTTTTAACAGAACGATATCTTTTATCGAACAGACATATTATCACTAAAAACGGGGTGGGGCACCTGGAGAGGTTCCCGTATGTCAAATGCGGAAATTTATGTCAAACTTTGATATACACTTTCTAAAAGAAAGTTTGTAAGCGACGTTAAGTTTTCTTATTGTCTTGTACAGAATACGAATGGTGCATGTTATCGTCTGCACTAGTAACATCGAAACGAGTTCGAAGAAAACTGTATTTTTTTCACCAGTCTAAATGTACCTGAATATAATCTTTATTCCTTCTCATCTGTCAAAGAAAAATATGTACAGAAGCTGTAATTTGATCTCAAACAAAAAATATTTGCCGATCTTTAATTTTCAATTTACATTTTTCTTTTTCAGAAGTTATCATGACTTGTATTACCATTTGCATACTGAGTAGGAAGCGTACCTCAATAGGAGGCTAGGTGAGTTACTCACTTTTAAAAAAAGTCTTGGTCTCCGGTTTCAATTGCTTTTTCCTTAGGCTTGATTAATTAAAGCAGAAAGTTAAGTAAGAAGTTGTCTATGCGAGACAAACGTACGGTTTAGATTTGACTTCTTTTTTGAAAAACAATGTGCGTTAAAATTTTTTCTTTAATTGTGACCAGTTCTAAAGGTCTGAGGCACAAGAGATAGGAAAAGTATCCGAACTACTGCATCGAGTTTGAGTAGATTTTCCAATGTTTCAATGTTCAAGGCAGTGTTGACCTGGTATTGCTTTTGCGTAAAACCAGAATATTTAGTTAGGAAAGTGTTTTATACAAGCAGATGGTGGATGAGTGTCTTCCAAAAGTCTGATCTACTGATCCTCGTTAAAGAAATCACCCTTACAAAAAGTATCAGAAGAAAAAAAGAGTTTTTTTTTTGTTTCCCATAGAGCTTTACACTTTTAATAAGCCGTTGTACTTTTTGCGACCTCTCTTAGTTGCCCATGGTAAAATCCTTGATTTTTATTTAGCTATGAGAAAATCTTTAATAACTTTTTATCGTTTTGTTATACTACCTCTAGCCTATCATTTGACAAAAGGTGACCAGGATTCAGCCTGATGTGCGTACTCAGTGGTGCATGGCTGTCTAACGAGAGATCTTAATAGCTGTTAGTATAACTGCTTACGTTTTCATGAGAAACCGTTCTCAAAACGAGATATTTATTGCAGTCACCTAATACAGTCTGAAACACTGAAAAAAGCACTACAACTCGCTAAAAGAATAATTTTTGCATCTGCTGAATGACAGAACTACAGCAATTTATAGGAGCGATTTGTGCCATTGGAAGCCATTATACCGTTGAAAAAAAAATTTGCAAAAATAAAGTTGTGAGAAGGGAAAAACCTAAGTCACAGATTTGGTAAAGCTATGTCGATTGTCTATAAAAACATTATTTTTCTGACACTTGCTTATCTAGCAGCGAAAGAAAAGTTTTAGGACAAGTGACCGCAGTTAGAGTTTAATTGATCCAAAACAATTGTACAGAGAAGAGAAAAAATTGTATTATATACCAGTAGATAGAGCTTAACCTTACACTCGTATGTGTTTCGTGTCGTGCGATTTCATATGATTTGAGTCGAAATCGTATTCTTTCCATAATTATTTTGATTTTGCCGACAACTTCGTACTCGTACCAAACCTGCGGATAGGGTACGGATCGGGTTGCACATCTCTAGTAAGAAGTATAATTTGCTGTAATTTTATAGCACTGGGCTACTTAGCAGCAACTTCTACTATCCTCGCGATGTTGATCGATGCTAAGCCCATTTATTTGATTCTTTTTATATAAATTGAATTATGATTATTTGATAACACAGTTTTATTATGACATTCAGAACTCCGACGAAAGCAGTGCGAACCCAGAAGATTAGGACCAGAAGGAAACTTTTCTCTTTACTGTCAGTGCTTTTTTAACTTGAGCGTTATAATTATAGGAATTTATTTATTATGACCCATAATAATCAAAGCCGAACAAGGCCAATTATCAAGGAAGAATATTAGTTAGGCATCAGCTCCCAGCCTAATAGCCTTACCACATGCATGTGCATTAAAATGTATACGAGAAAAAAGATCTCATAAACGTCTAGACTTCTTTTCACAAAGCAACATAAACATTTAATACCATGTAACTTTTGGGCAAAAAGCGAAATCTGTTACTTTTCTTCAACAAAGTTCAAACAAAACTTTAATCAAAAGATTCAAAAAACTGAAGTTCTTGATTACAAATCACTACAGCTGGAACACAAATTGATCTAAATACCAGTTTTAAAATACTAGTTTTTTGAAGATACGTAAAGATAAAATCTTCGTATTTTCTACTATTTGGGTCATTTCTTTGAACTGATAAGTGCAAATGGCGTTATCTTTGACCTCTTGGATAATTACGGATTGCTGCAACCTCAAAATCGCTACCTCATTAACCTATGCGTACTCATACCTACTCATACCTACCCATACCTATTCGTACCTACTCATACCTACCCATACCGACGAACTACCCAGGCGAATAAAAAGTATCGAGTATTGGGCAATCCTACCTAGACAATCCAATCCAATACCCAATATACCTAGATACAAGTAAAAAGAAAGTATTGAGTATTGGGCAATCCAAGCTAGCTAACCCAATACAGTAGTCGATATACCTAGATAACCCTATATTTTACCCCATATATCTGGATGTTAGATTTATCACATGTTCAAGTAAGAAATCTTGTGAAGTATCTAGATATTTTCATGTGGGATTTTCTGCTTGGGTATATGAAATGTTGTTTGGTTACTCACTATCATGCTACCACTCACCCTCCGCCAGCGGCTTGTAGGATAAGTAGGTATGGGTAGGTACAGATAGGTATGGGCAGGTATGGGTAGGTATGGGTAGGTATCTACAGTTTGGGTTGTAACAACGTTATATAATTTGAGGTTGCGGCAACACCAAACTATCCATCCTATGTTATCTTTCCATAGTTGTATGTCTCTAGAAAAAATATGAAAATGAATTCAATGGTACGAATTTTATACGTGAAACATTGTATGAATTCAGCTCTACAATGGATAATTATCGCTCGGAACTTTCAAATATAGATTGGTATTCATTAATCTACGGCAGTTCTCTAGATGATGCAGTTTGTTTAGTAAAAAATAAAATACTTGACATTGCAAGTTCCGTTATTCCTCATAAAACAATAACTGTGTCCTCTAGAGACAAAGTCTGATTTAACCCTTCGTAGCTACCGTGGGGTCCACGTGGATCCACTTTGCAATGTTTTGTTTCTCGCTACGCCACTATTAAACCTTTCAAGTCACTTTTTTCTGTAATCATTGGTATAGTGTTCATGCACAAGAACCTTTCTAAATTTTATAAATATGCCTTAAGGGCAGAATTTTAGAGTATGGATCCACGTGGACCCCAGGACAGCTACGGTGTTATAGTCGTGGTTTAAAGTCCGGTTTGAGCTGCCCTCTATTATTCTAGTAACTCTCTAGAAAAGACATTCGTTGGATTGTGATCCCTTAATTTTTCTCTCGACTTCTCCTAGTCGTAAGCCCGGGTTCTAAATCAAGTAAGACAAGAAAACTCTCTCAGTATCCTAAATTAAACAAAGTGCCAATTCACTATATTTAACGGGTGCGGCATAAAGAATGTCACCATTTCTATTTTTCGGATAGCCTGGTTGGATTTCATCGTGGAAAGTTGAGCTTAGTCTCAAACGATTCCTCGTTAAATTGTCGACCAGAATATGTAAAAATCTTCCCTTCAAAGTTTAAATGAGAAAATTCGGACAAATAATACTAAGAAGCTTCAACGTGACTAAGTTTCCCAGAGGTTTCTCTGTTTGAAATTATTTTATATGATAGTATAAATATTAATGCGGAAACGCATCAGTAGAATTTTGCGAGTACAACCAAGTGCCCTCTTGCTACCGGTGTACAATAAAGTCAGTTTCGAGCAACTATTCCAACTGAAAAACTGCCTTATTGTATTTCAGCCGAAAATGTCTGAAAGTTGGATTATTTTGCTTCTTTTATTAGAATATGAAAAGGGATTTGAAGTCCGACGATTTATGCGATTTGCCATGCATTACTCTTCAACATAAAGCTAAAACAGTTTCATAGTTGACTTTCTGGTCAACTTATGCAAAGTTTTCTGAATGCCCGAAAACAGCTGTTTCACAAGCGTGATTTGGTGCCAAAATCTAAAAAAGGCAACGTTCTTTTACAAGCTAGATTTTCATGTGTAACTTTTTAGTTTACGGGTAAAAGGTAGAGCTTGTTGAGCGCTACAAAATGGCTGATTAGTTTTCTTTATGCCTTAAAGTGCCAACGAATAAAAAGAGAAAAGATGATTTTTAGATGGGAAACTTAGTCACTTTGAAGCTTTTCAGTATTATTTGTCCGAATTTTCTCATTTAAACTTTGAAGGGAAGATTTTTACATATTCTAGTCGACAATTTAACGAGGAATCGTTTGAGACTAAGCTCAATTCTCTACGATGAAATCCGACCACGCTATCCGAAAAACAGAAATGGTGACATTCTTTATGCCGCACCCGTTAGTATATTTAACGCGGCGCCTCATGCCGAAAGTCAAAGTTGCTCTACAATGTCTCGGCTGTGATCTCCAGCTGGATACAAAGAAGGACCACAACGTTAATACGAATGTGAATCGAGCGAAGAAACGATGCTATCTTTGCCCAGCAAAACCTGGACGTAAGGTTCGACAAATATATGATGGTTGTGGGCAGAACGTGTGTCTCTTTCATTCCAATAGGATCACAACAGTGACTTGTCACTCGTGTCACAAGTGATTAGCTGAGACAGCGTATAGCGAACAAGCAAAAAAATATACACTAGAACAATAGCAACAGTAGACTTATTTATAGTAGACAGTAGTAAAGACAGTTTTATGATTTTAAGACAGGAAAATACAGGTTTTTATGATTAAAACAGTTTTTATCCATACCAAAATAAAAAACGAAGTAAGAACATGATCTTTTGTATTTTCTATCTAAGGGCCACTAAGTTTTGATATATCAGTACATATTCACAACATACATTTAAGTGGTTGAGCCCCAGAATAGCTGTATATCATGAGGTGTAAAAATTCTTTAAAAAATGTTCTCTGAACTCCAAGTTAATGTATTATCGACATATTTGTCGATATATCCACGTGCAGACCGAGGGTAATTAATGTCTTCTATCCATGCATCAAATGCTTAAACGAAAGAAAGAACCTCTAGTTTTAAAATGTTTTCTCAAGGTGGGTCCACCTGGATCCCGGGACACCTATGGTGTTACAAAGTGAGGACAGCTACGAAGGGTTAATGAAAAGTTGCGTTCGATGCTACGTGGTAAAAATGAAGCGTTTTATCGATATCAACGAAACAAAAATGATAAAAATTTTCTTTCTTATAAAGAAATATTGAGGTCGTCTGACAAGAAATGCAATACAGCAAAAAATGACTATTATAGGCAAATATCTGTGGATATAAGTATAAAATCAAAGAGATGGTGGACACTTGTTAAGCATTCTTTAGATCGTACTAGTAAATCATCAATTCCTCCTATTCGATCTTCCGCTGGTAAACTTGTCAGTGAACCTAATGAGAAAGCTGATGCTCTAAATGACCATTTTGCAAAAAATGGTGGTGTTGCTAATCACTTAAATGGTGACCTTAACAAAGTGAATAAATGATCTATTAACTGGAAACTACCCTTGAACTCAGGTAAATGCGTATCAATGTTATTCACATTAAAAAAAATTTCCACAAATGCTACCTATACTTCGAATTGGAGCAACAGTGCTCAGTTATGTTCAGTCACATAAACATCTAGGGATAATATTAACACTTAAACTGGACTGGACTAAACATGTTGACTATCTACTGCAAAAGATTGAAATTAATTGTGTTATTCAAACTTTACAGTAGAATTCTATGTCGTCAGGCACTTAACGTGGTTTATAAGCCCTTCATCATGCCCTGTTTTAATTACGGTAGCATCATATATGGTAACACATCCGATTCCAATGTTGAGCGTATTCAAAAGCTGCACTATCATGCAGTGTTAGCAGTAACAGGAGCTATGAAAGGTAGTAGTAGTCAGAAGGTCTTGAAGGATATTGGCTGGGAGCCTATGAACAAGTACTTTCATCGAAGTAGAATTGTTACATATCATACGATATTAGTGACTAAGTCACCTAATTATTTGTTTGACTTAATATCTTCTTCAACAAACACTTCAGTTCTTACTCATAATTATAATACTCGTAGTCAACAAAATGATCAACACTGGCAGCCATCTCCCAGAATAACAATATTTAGAGAATCATTTTTTTACCAAGCTCGTATTGATTAGCAAGAATTACCGTTCAGTACACGTCGTTGAATTCTTTTAAAAAGAAAATTTAAACATTGGTCAAGAAAAGATTTCCTTTTGTGAATAATCGCTTAGATAAAATACATTTTTGTCGACGTCGAGTTGATCGAACTTAACTAAGGCATGATTTGTACATTAGCAATCTCACTGCTGATCCGTATTGTATATGTGGTGCGAATAAGACACTTGAACACTTTTTCCTCCCATTGTCCTTTATACCAAAACCAACAAAAACTGCTATTCTCTGAGATTGTTGACATAATGCCTACGGCAACCATAACAATGTCATTACTTATGCTATATGATCCTATGAAATGTGAAGATATGATAGAGATATATCATTCTGTTTTAAAGTTTATATCTATGCCTAATCGCTTTAAGAAGTCTGGATTCCCATCTGTCACGTATCAACATTAAGTTCGATTAAGTGGGTGTTACATGTGATGAGAGTAAATTGAGCTCTAGTTCTAGGTTGAGCATCATTAGCTTCAATAAAACCATTGTAACCGATAGTGCAAGTGTAATGTCTCTAAGGATAAGACGAAGACTTTTTCTGTTTTTTTTATTTATTTACTTCTCTCTTGTTATGTTTTACGTTCCTATGTTTATATGTGTGTGTTTCTGTGTATAGTGCTAAAGTGGGTTTTTAACTCTTTGTGCTTAGGTTTATACTTTCTTTTTAATAAAGGTTTAAATCAAATATGCCGTCAAGCCATATATCTTGAACGATATTAACTTGAGTGGTTATCTAGACAAGCCGGTATGTAGAAATCAGTATCTCTGATACCTTATGAGTAAGAAGCATGTGTGTAAATTAGAAATACCTAAGAATCAACTTGACATGTACATTATTTCAGAGAAGGTTCAGACTATCTTTAGCAGATATTGGAGCTATTTGATTCGGTTTTAGAAAAACGGGACCCAATTCCATCGCTGCTCTTTGTGATAAGATCTAATCGCAATCGACACTAATCACTTTAGGAGAAGTAACTGTTCCGATTATGACAGACTGCAAATTATCCCATTATTTTTCTCTTCTGACCACTTTATTCTCGCCTCGTAGATTTTATATGCAGCGTAGTTTGTACTTTCAACCGTATAGCAACTACTGCTTAATCTTTACTGCTGTCTTTAATTATTTTGAGAAAAAAACATTTTCGTTCTTATCCCGATTCATTCATTCATTTCTTTTTCCATATTGTTGTTTGTATGCAAATTATTCAACATCCCTTTCTCTCATATACTCTCAACATGTTACCGAAACACCTCTCTCTTTCTCTTCTTTTCATATTTCTACTATCATATTTTCTGTATATATTAATAATAATCGTACCGAAAAACGAAAAAAATCACACTATTGCAAATATACATATCTTCTCCCACTGTTGTCATACATATTTCCTTTTATTGTTAAATTTTTCCAATCACACCATCAGAACATATACCATTTATCTGCTAGTTATTCGAAGCAAACATCATCAACATGAGTATCAATGTACTACCAACAATTCTGTTGGCATGTTTCGTTGTCATCTGTTATGTGCAATCATCGGACGGTGCGAGTGAGTTTTCTTCCTTTTCTGTTTGAATGCTTTAGTGCATTTACTGTGTTATTCTCCACATCTTTCAAATTAGACAACTATATGAAGGTTTATGGATATTTTATTGAAACTATGATATAAGAGGATGTGATCAGAGAGTAGACCAACATCAGATTAATAGTTTTATCACTTATAGGGCATATCTCAGAAGCATTTGATAAAAACCTAAGCAGTCTTGTAACTATCTTTATGCTGATTCAGAGTCTACAAGCTTGCCAAGATTGAACAGATTTTGTTGATCACCAAAATCTGATTATAAAGTGTTATCTATTGTTTTCTTACTCTTTTTCTTTGTACTGCAACTAATGGTTGCAACTAATGATAGTCTTTGTTGGCAGCTATACGAAAACGTCGTGCCGATGATCAACAAATTGATGAAGAATTTACATCTGAAGAATCAGATTCCGAAGGTTACGATATTGATTTAATGAGAAAACGTAATGATAGTGACGTTGATGATGAAGATGGCGACGGAACAGTGGACCAGAGTGGAACAGATCTTGATGACTTGATTAAATCAGGTATGCATTGATAATAGATCCTTACGCTGACTGCAAGCATTTCTACTTAAAAAACAATTAAAGAGTTACTAAACCCAAATAGTGCATTATACTGATAAATCCTAAGAAGCAGGTAGTTTATCCGAAAGATGCTTTTACGAACTCTACACTTCGCAGTCGTATTAACTTTATTAATTGCGCTTCGAAACAGTATTCCAAATCATTCATCGTTACTGGTAGCCTAATAATATTTATACATTTAAATTAAGATGACAACAAGAACGATCAATCAGCTGAGACAAGTGAATCAATCGAAGAAAAAAAAAGAAGTTACGATGAGTCAGAAGATGAGACTTCAAGTAGTTCAAGCGACGATGATTGAAAAATAAAAGTCTTACAACGTTCCATCAACTAATTTTTCTAACATGCCGTTTCTTTTATCGAATTTATATTTTCTCATATATTCTGTCATCAATTCATTGGACATTTTTTCAATTGCTACTATACTTTTTTGTGAAAGAATTAAAAATTTAAAAAAGCAAAAGGCATGCTCCAAGTACTTACTACCCAAGTCGTTTTCTAGTTATATATCTGACCGAAAGATTATTACTACCGTACATGGTGTGAGCAAGAATTGTCCGTCAATTGGATCATGGCTATTTTCGATTTTTATCTGTGTAAGAGTAGCTGCTTCAATGAGCGTCTTTCCAATGCAAGAAAAATTCGTATACAGTGAAATAAAGATTTCAGGCTGGATCTCAGAGCCTGGAGGTTTTCAGATATGCTGATTCTAGTGGCGATAGCAATCTGCTTTGGTTTTTAATTTCATAATGGACTTCTGGAAAAGTGGGCTTTTTAGCCGAGGGCTTTCGGAAATATTGCAATTAACTCCGGCATCCCGTACAATGGTTCGGAGTGGCGAAGTGTGTTTTTTTTTTAGAATAAACTAGTGATATTTCTCTCAATAGTCTTCCCCAAAACAGAACAATCGTGTTCTCTTGTTGCGAGTATTTCCTGGATAATGGAGCAATTGTGTTTTGTTCTGTGAATTCCTATCCCACAGACAGAACCTTTTTGTTCTGTTTGTGGGAACAGAGATTTCTGGGACAGTTCAGTTCAGTAAAGTTTCTGTAAGCGCACGGACCCACTCCAAGCACTTCGGCACTCCACGGAGTGACGGAACGCGCTTTTCCCGCTTGACATAAATCCGTCGGAAATGGAAAATCGAAAAACTTGTCAAAAAACGCCCTCTGAAGGAAGCAGGGGGGGACAAGGGCCTTAAGAATACCTACAGAAAAATAGAAATTGTCCCTCAGCATCGATGTGGTCCACTCCGGCCCATTCCAGCCCACTTCAGCCCATTTCAATCACTCTAGCCCATTCCACCATTCCAAAAACGCTTTTTCCCCCTTGCACTTCAGTCTACTTTCACCGTTAAGCTCTAAAAGGAGTAAAATAAAAGATATTACGGATTTTCTTAACTCATAAAAGTGTCTTTTTTGTCTTGGATAAATCTTTCTGCAAAACGCGAGCGGCTCAGCATGGAGGGTGTAGCAAAATTTTGGAAACCGTTGTAGTTTTTGTCGACTGAGTTCAGTGTTTGTTTCAGTGAAAATGCTTTCAACCTCGTGATAAAAAGTCAAGGGCTGAGCGAATAAGCGTTTTCGACTGATTGCTTCGTCACACCCAGCGGAGTTTTGATGAAAATAAAAAAAGAAAGCCTGGTGAACTTCGAAAACCGACATTATAGTACTCTATCAGAAACAAAGATTGCACAAGGTAGACGTTCAGAAGCGGATGGAAATTGCATTGCTAACTTGAGAGAATTCTGAGAGATTTTTACCGGAGTATCGCCACACGGTGGAGAATTTTGGCTAAGCATGTGGACCTGAGCTTTGTGAGCGATCTAAAAGTATCTAAACCTTGTTTCTATAGGTTATCTCGTGTGTGCTTTCCAATGGAATAGTTTTCAACTTTTGAGAAAATTCTCCAAGGGCTTTTCCAGAGACCGAATCTCTGTAAAACCAGTTAGAAAACTTTTCCAAAACTCAAAAAACATTCGATTAGAAAGAATATCGTAAAAAAACCTGTAAAACTAACGTTTAAATGCGCTCGTGCTTTTATATGTTGATGTTCAAATTATCAGGCAAATCATTCTAACGAGGGAACGTTTTTAAGTGCTCCCTCGTTTTTTCAACGAAACCTAGTGGGTTATAGGTCATTGATGATGCTGATTCCAAATATAAATATGAGAGCTGCTCGTCGAGCTTCGAAGACCCGATTTTCTGGAAAATCAGTTTTTCAGAAACTCTGAAAAATAACTAAAACTTTTCTTAATGAATTATGCTTGTAGCCTGCGCATTTCTGATTAAAATGAGATCTCTCCTAACTCTACATGACCTTTCTTTGCAAAGTTATACAATTTCCAAGAAAAGCCCTAAATTAATTTCTTCCTATTTCTGTAGCTTTGAGTTGACGATGGATATTTAGGGCTTTTCTTGGAAATTGT